TTTGAAAATAAAGGGTCCCTAACCAAGACTCCAGACAGCGTTGAAAAAGGCAAAGAGCTAGCAAACGGGAAGGCATCCAATACGGCTAATTGTAAACCCGGTGATCCATTGTTCAAATTTCTAAACAAGGATATCCAGTCTGAAAAGGTTCATCAATTTATGGAACTTATATATATGTATATAGTTTATTTTCTTCTTCAAATAACCTGTAATCTTATTATTTTTAGAGGAACAATTAATTTTTATATAATAAACATTGAATTCTGGATTAAATTCTTCCTTCCTATCAGTGGCGTAGCTACGGTGGTGATTTTCGGGTTTGGACCCCTCCCAGAGCAAAATTTTATTTTAGATTATACGTTCAAAAGACTTAAAAGTGATTTTATATGTATATTTTTCTGGTTTTGATGTTTGTGGAAGGATATTAAATTACTATTGAAATTATTCTGGATAGTATTATTATAGTCATTGAGAATAATCTACTAAATTATAATAACATATTATTTATGCATTTAAAAAATATATTTATTATATATTATCGAAGATATGGTTATGATTTGTAAGATAAATCCGGCCGAAGGCCGGGCAAAAGGGCCGAAGGCCCGTTAAAGGGGTCTGGGGGGCGAAGCCCCCAGCTTTTATATGTATGGACCCCCTCTAAGGAAAATTCCTAGCTACGCCACTGCTTCCTATATTCCAAAATATCTTCTATTTATCCTTAGTTTTTTCTTCAAGTATAACGTTGTAATAAATGTGGTTGTCTTATTGGCTACGTTTTTTTTTCAAAATTTTACCATATGATATGATAAGCTAGTTTAGAGTGAAAAATTCCGTTGAGAAAAATATATTTTTGGGTTTCTATCTGTAGTATTTGGCCGAGGATGTGTGTGTGTAGATTAGAGATCTGCTCACCCTCGCCTGAATACCGTGTAAAAAGTTGTTTTATTAGGTAAGGCCGGATAACTTGTGTATTTTACGGGCCTGGCTAAAAAACGTTGTCCGATTAACCTCCAAATATTGATTTGTTACAAATCGCGTTGTTTGTTTGTTATTTTACTACTAATCATAATAGAAATGAATGAATGATATTTTTATTTTTAGACAATTTGCAAGGAAACTGATAGGCAATGCGAACTTAAACAACTTTTGGAGATCGTTGATAAGAAGATGCGTTTTTTGAAATGTAAAGAAAATGTTCTAACATTAGAATTAACACAAACGCAATAAAAAGGAAGATGACATTTTATTTATATTGAATTTTATCATTGTCAGTTTGCGGTAGTGTTGCTAAACGGCTTGTTTTGAGCCGAGCCTTAAAACGGCTGATTCAATATTTCACTCAGAAAAATATATTATGGGAGTTCTGAAGATTTTGCTCACAAACGGAACAAAGGTCTAGACATATATTTTCAAAATCTCGAGGCTTAGGCAATATCTTTCTGGCTAAAATATTGAGAGCCGTTTAGCAACACTAATTTGCAGATTAATATATATATTTTTTTGTAATTAATTCATAATTACAATCCTTCTGTAAAGCTTTCTTATTTCTGTTATTTTTTGGTTACCATATTACTCCTTTTTCAAAATCTCCAGTTTTTTTATTCTTCTTCTTCTTAACATTTCTTAGATTGCTATATGTATATATATATATATGTGATATAGCGATAATGGAGATTTAATGATGAATTTTTTAAGATTCCGATAAAATTATTAGGAGAAGTTGCAAATCAATGATCCATGTAGTTCATATTAAGTCAGTATTTTTTTTACGGTTCCCTGGATTGATAGTTATATTTTAACTGGGTCCGAGAGTTTTAGCGGAAGGAACATTCAATGCTAAATTTCCCGCCTGAGAAGGAGTTGGCATTAGTTTGACTAATAAGCCAGCCAAATGTATGAATCTAATTTCATAGTTTAATTCCAGGGTAATTATGAAGTGTGAATGAATGAAAAAAAAAATTGTATAAATTTTAAAATGTTATATATGTTAGGTTCGATGTGTTTTTTTTCCTGCAATGGGTTATTATTTTTTTATTTAAAACTTTTAAATCATTTTTTGAGCGCGTTTTTATTTTTAAATTTAAATTTTTTTTATTATTACCGGAAATGAATTTCGGCATGTTTAGAATAACCTATCCTAAGAATTTCAGACAATTTATCCGCGAACTTTCAAACTTGATTTAATTTATATTCGATTTCCCATATATTTTTTTTATATAATTTATAAATGAGTCAAAGGTCCACAATAGATTCATAAAGGAAGGGGATGCCAGCGTTGCAATATTGTCTTACAATTCGTAAGATAGGCATTCGTATTCCAAACATGATGGAATATATTCCCGGTAAAAATCCGATTTTTAAATTTTTTTTAAAAAACGCCCTTTAAAAAAAATGTACACATTTCCGGGAAAAAGGCACTGGAGATAACGTATATACCTAATTCGACATAAAATATTATAATAATTGATAGAGTGAATTTTTTTTTTGATATTTGAAAGAGCCAATTTCTCATTGATGCGAACCTTTCAAATAATCTGTAAGATTTCAAAGTAAATTCTTTATCTATAATTATAACCTAAACTTCCCACTTTCAAATTTACAATTCATCAAATATAATCTTCCACTTCCTTCAAACTTCCCTAGTAAAACGTGTTTATTCATACGTTGGAAGGCTGATCTCTAAAGTAAAGCACTTCTTTTTTTGTTATCACAGCTTGAGAACAACATCAAAAAATAAAAATTCTTGACAGAGATTTTTATAATATAATATGATAATAAAATCATTTTTAATCATTATATGACGAATAATGATATAACATTGCCCAGGAATAGACAGGATTTTGTTAAGGGGGGGGGGGGGTTTTAGGTTGGCTTACTTTTTAATTTTTAATATTTTTTTTCGTAAATTTTTTCTTTTTAATTTTCCACTTAATTTTTATTATTATTAAATAATTTTGATTATGTTATTATTGATGTCTATGGGAACATGTGTGTATGATTAAAATAAAAAGATAAGATAACTATAACTTGTATTTTAATGTTTACGACAACAAACCCTAAAAATTTTATAAATACATGTTTCTTCTTTAAAAGAGTTTATTAAACCTCGTTTATACATTTGGGTGGAAGAGAGAACACGTTCCAAAGTTATATTAGGAAAATTTTAGCCTAATGCTAGGCAATACATGGGGATTAAGAGTTTGTAAAACTGCATTCCAAGAATAAAAATTAATAAAAATATTTAGAGAAATTCAATTTATAATTTAAAATACTTATTATGAAAAAAAAAATTGTTTTACAGTTAGAAAAAATTAGAAACTTAAAAAATTTGAGAAATCTTGAAACTAAATTGTTAAGCCTAATGGATAAGAAAGATATTAAGGTTTTAAAAGAAAAAAGGATTAAAGATATCATGCAATTATATTGTTAAAGTAATATTGTGAAAAAATAGAAGAAAATTTATAGTTTCTAACATTTATGGATAAGAAAGATAATTATAAATTTATATTAAATTTTAAAAATTTATATTGGAAATGGAAAAAATTAATATACGATAGCACATTTATATCTCAGACTAATTTTTTGCAAATATTGATAAGATTAAGATACAAAATGATGTAGCAATATTAAGGATTGTCGAAATGAATAAGAAAAAGTCATAAAATCAGCATTCATAACAGATAAGATATAAAGAAGTTTGTATTATAGTTATTTTAAGGTGATAATTTAGGAATTCTATTGTTAACAGAGATATTACTGGCAAACGTAGAAGCCAATATAGTATAACAGAATAGAATTGAGACTATAAGATGTTTTAAATTTTAGAATTATTGTAAGTCATTAAATAATTGATTACTAGAGATAACTGTAACTAATATAAATGAACAAAGATTGTGAGGTTAAATAAATTTATTTGTAAGAATATATTATAATTGAAAATATTCACAGATTAAGAATAAAGACTGAAACGAATACAAATAGTTTGTTAAAAATAAAAGAAAGAAAGAAAGAAAGAAAGAAATTAGAATATTCTGAAAATAAAATTAGAGACTAAGACAAACAGACAGTTATTGTTTGAACATATGTTGATATAGCAAAAAAATTTTTATTGAGTAATTACGTTTAACTTATATTTGATTTAATAATATTTAGTAAAATAATGGGTTGTTGATTAACCAAAATCTTCAGGAAGAGAAAATGCTTTCATCATTTAAAAAATCAGGCCACAATTGAGCTCAATTAGAGATCAAAATTTTATTTAGGATTATTAATAACAATTGAGATTAATTATGCAATATTATTCTAATAATAGCAGCAGAAAGAAAACGTAGAAATATATATGTCAATTGCATTTCAACAACTTGTGTGGAAAACTATAATACTTAGATTTCATGGGTTTACCATCAGCGTGTAGGTAAAAACATAATGATTAGATTTCAATTGTTTTCAACAATGTATGTGTGAAAAGAGATAATATATTTCAAAGATTTTTTTAACAACGGTTCTGAACTGTGTAGAGTAGAAGAAAATAAATAGATATTATGTTTCTTTAAAAAGTTAAGCATTATAGGAAATAAAGGCATAATGATATTTTTTTTGAAAAAAAGAAAATATTTGGGTACATATTTCGAATTAAGAGATTTAAAAATAAAGTTTAATTAAAGAATTTTATATTAATTTAGCATTTGACATGGTTGACAAAAGATGTGGATCAATAGTTTAAGAACTACAAGCGAATCAAATAGTTCAATGAAGATATGGGACTAGTCTAATTGAGGGTAGGATGGTAAATAATAGGATTAGAAAATGATGATTTTTATAACTTTTTATTTTTACGGCAACAAGCTTAAAAATATTATATATACATTTTTCTTCTTTACAAGAGTTATTCAACCTCGTTTTTACATATCGAACAACATCAGATAAATTTAAATTTGATTTAAAAAATTACATTAGTTTTTTCCTTTAGGATAAAAAAAAAATTAAATAGCCATTTGCCTGAAATTTTTAAAATCCATAGCGGAAGTTTTTGCAATATCATTAAAGCAATGAGTATTCATATGCTAAAATCGCCTTTAAGGGCTATTCTTTTCAATAAAACGGTTCTTCAAAATTCAAATTTAATCTATAAAAATGTAAGTATTAAATATTAAACATCCTGATTATATAATATCCGATAGGAATTATTTTCATCTATATACCTTTTTGGTCATGCAAGAAATTATGCGTAAGATAGATATTATATATCGATTTTATCTAAATCTTATATTAAGCAATGAATCTGTCAAAGGAGTTGTTATAGGTATTGACCTGGGAACTACTAATTCATGTGTTGCCACAATGGAGGGCAAAACACCAAAAGTGATTTTTTTAAATAATATTAAATATAAAGTTTGTGAGAATTTATTTTATAAATATTTTTTTAAAATGCTATATTATAAGGTTTTAGAAAATGCTGAGGGGTCCAGGACAACTCCATCTGTTGTAGCATTTACAAAGGATGGTGAAAGACTGGTTGGCATGCCAGCTAAGAGACAATCTGTAACTAATTCTAAAAATACGTTTTCTGCTACTAAAAGATTAATTGGTAGAAAATTTGCAGATCCCGAAGTTCAGAAAGATATGTATGTTTTGTTTTATTGTTTCATTAAAATGAACTTATTAATGTTTAAAAAAAATTAGGATATATATTATTAAAAATTTATAAATGCCCTTTTATTAAAAAAAATACAAACAGAAAAACAGTTTCATATAAAATTGTCAAAGCATCAAACAGTGATGCATGGGTAGAAGGAAATGGTAAAATGTATTCTCCTAGTCAGATAGGGGCCTTTATACTTATGAAAATGAAGGAAACTGCAGGTATTATATATTTTGTTTAAACAATATTTTTTGCCAGCCATTAGTTTAACATTTATTAAAGTTCTCTTACATTAACAATAACTACAAATATATGCTATTCTGCTTTTAAACAAATATTTCTATTTTTTTAAGAGAATTATATTGGTCACTCAGTTAAAAATGCAGTCATAACTGTACCCGCATATTTCAATGACTCCCAAAGACAAGTAAATTTGATTATTAATTAGATTAATAATTTAGATTACATTATTTTAAAAAAAAATTAAATGAATAGAGTTTTATTTCCTGTTAGTAAAACCTAGATGATGATATTTTTAGTCAAAAAATGAAGGCTTTTATTTTTAGGATTATTCAAAACAGATGTAATAAACCCTTTTTAATAGGAAAATAAAAATATGACCAAAACATATTTTTGAATTATTTAATACTTTTTCTTTATATTTTCTTAAATTTTAAAACTAGAAATTTTTGAAACAGTTTTTAGACACAATTTTAATCCATCTTAGCACAGGTGGAAAGAATGGCACCAAAAATATAGATGGGATTACCTTCTTTCCCCAATTTAGATACACTATTAGTGTTAAATGGTTCATTTTGAGTCAATTTTTTCAAACAGCTAACAATATATAATATTTTAGCCAGGAAAATATTGCCTAAGCTGCGAGATTTCCTTATTATATTAGACCTTTGTTCCTTCTATGAGCCAAATCTTCAGGCTTGCGTAAGATTTTTCTGGATCGAATATCGAGTTAGCCATTTTATAAAAATCGGCTCAAAACATGCCGTTTAACAACACTATATCTTAAAATTAAATTTATTTGTAGCTTTCATATTCTATTCATACCTTAGTTTAGTGACCTTAATTGTTATTTTAAAATTGTATAACAGCTTTTGCTAAGAGAGTCAAAAAAGGGGCACATTATTTCAAAATGACACAATATGATATTAATGAATATACGAATAAAATTTATGAGGTGTAAGGTTTATCGAAGTGTTTATTTATGACTAATATTATTGCTAAAACAGACGAAAAAATGTTACACAGATCATCTGTTAGGATCTACGCAGATGCCAAACTTAAAAAAACGGTTATAACTCATGAACAGCCAAACAAAATGAAAATTAATTTTGCACACACACTTAACCAAAAAATAATAAGCTACTAAAAGACCCAGACAAATATAAAAAGATTAAATATGTTGTTTTTAAATGGCTGGAATTCTGCATAGTCCCTGGTACAAGGAATTAAGATAAATCATTTGAATTTTCAAGGATTATAAAAAAAAATATTAGTTAATCCTATTCCTACTGGAGATCGGTTCCACCTCTGGCCCAAATATATTTTGCACGATTTCTCAGCCTGAAATTATTTTAACCTGGCCCATTATTTTTTTTATGAAATAAATATTATTATTTGATGCCTAAAAAACTTTTTCATACAAGGACTGCTTTTTGGACCTAGCAATGTAGATCTCTGATATAATTTTAAAATAAAATTTAAAAAACTGTTTTGGTTAAAATTATAGGGAGGTGGGAATGGATGATATGTCATACAAATATGCAAACATAACCCATATTTTCTTTATGTTCGCAGGCAACCAAAGATGCCGGGCAGATAGCTGGTCTCAATGTGCTGCGGGTTATTAATGAACCCACAGCAGCCGCTTTAGCTTATGGACTTGAAAAATCAGAAGATAAAATGTAAAAAAAATATTTGATTTGTTGTTTTTATCCCCAACTCTGATTGGAAGATTTATATTTTTTTGTATTAAATGGTATAGATCAGAATGGGGTATAAATGAGTATTAACTGACAAGAAGGGGCTTCACGTTTAAAGAAAATAATTAATATAAAGTGCTTCCTCTTCTTAGATTTAAATTGGCCTTAAGGGTTTAGATTCCGTTTTCTTAATCTGAACAAACTCCCATGCTATATAATATATCAAGTACAATGTTAAAACCTACTCCTTCTTAATTTCATATATTTATCTAACGAGTTTATTACAATTATGGTATTTTTAGCATTAGCATTATTATTTTTAAAAATTATTAAAGGTTATTTTTAAGAAAAATAATTTTTTTAAAATATATAACTTAAGAAATCTTCACTATTTTAATAACACTTTTTGATGAGATAAAGAATTTACCTGCTGCATAAGAAATACGTTTCATATGCTTGCTAATAATCTAGATAAACGCAATCCCTCTGTAAAAGCTAGCGGGTTTACTATGAAAATATAATAACTGGATTAATCTCTTGTAGTGTTGTTAAATGGCTCGTCTTGAGGCGATTTTTAAAAATGGCTACCTCGATATTTCATCCAGAAAAATATTGAGCAAGCCTGAAGATTTTGCTCATAGAAGGAACTAAGGTTAAGACAAATATTGTCCAAATCTCGAGGTTTAGGCAGTATTTTTCTAGCTAAAATATTGAGTTAGCCGAAATAGGCTCAAAACGAGTCATTTAACAACACTAATTATCTCGATGGTGAAATCATAGTTGAGATATTGGGGGGGGGGCAAAATGATCTTCTAACAGTGTTAGCGTGATTGTCCTATCTAATCTTGTATTTGATCTCTGACAGCTACATCATAACACTTTTTATTTATTGTAGGCCTATTCATAAAACGAATATGAGTTCTAGTAGTGCATTTATATGTTAGTTCTTCATATTTTGAAGAAATATTGCTTGTTAATTCCTTGAGTTATTGAATATATTATTTTTTTTAAATGCATTAATGAACAATTTTTTAAAATCATATTTATTATTACTTAATAATGTTGAATAAAGAACTGCATTCTAAGTAAACTCCTATTAAATATTAAAATTGTATATACATCTAGCAACAGTACTGGATACTCTTGGACTGTCTAATATAGGAGTGTGCTAAGATTCTTACACTGGTTCCATATTTGGCTAGAAATTTTTAGAGGGTTCTGGTACCTATAAATTTTTAAAGGCCTCGGTCCAGTTCATAGATTTGTCACTCTTAGTGGGTTCTTTCCAATTCCCCTGATCCTCCTCACTCATTTCACGCTAAAATTATTTTCGATTTATTATCTAAACAGCATAGCCGTATACGATTTGGGAGGAGGCACCTTCGATATATCTATCCTGGAGATACAGAAGGGGGTTTTCGAGGTTAAATCGACTAACGGAGATACGTTTCTAGGGGGCGAAGATTTCGACAATGCGCTCCTGAATTACTTGGTTCTTGAGTTCAAGAAAGAGGTTTGCCTAATATTAGTGTATATTATAATGTAACTTAACTAACACCCCTAAAATTTTGGTCTTAAATATTATGGTCCTTAAAATTAGACAAATTGTACGGGGAAAATGCATTTCTCTTAATCAGTGCCGTGAATGATTCATGTATATTAATAATTAATAAAGAAATATGAAATTATATAGCAAGGCATAGACTTGCACAAGGATAACATGGCCATTCAACGACTCAAGGAGGCTGCCGAGAAAGCTAAATGCGAGCTATCTTCCTCTGTTCAAGTAAAAATTTTTTGCCTTATCTTCCTTTTTTTTAAAATTATTGTCCATTGTTTCTAGTGTTGTTGAAGATACAATTTCTTGTAATTTATGTTCGCATAATGTATAACTATACTCCAAAAAATGAGAACGAAATTGGAACCAGGGGCTGCGAACTCACCTTATTAAAATAAGTGTTTGTAAGACATATTTACGATATCACAAAAGTTTAAGAATGCGATTAATTACCTAGAATGCTCAGTCTATAAACTGAAGCCAAATGACAGTCGAATAAACTAAAGATTGACATGTTTAAAATTTTTTTACAACCAGACCGAAATAAACCTGCCTTACCTGACCATGGATTCGGGCGGTCCCAAACACATGAACATGAAATTGACCCGAACCCAACTGGAAAAGGTCGTGGCCGATCTGATCAAGAGAACCATCGGTCCTTGCGAGAAAGCCCTCAAGGACGCCAACGTCAGCAAAAGCGACATTGGGGAAGTTCTACTGGTGGGTGGGATGACGAGAATGCCCAAGGTTTAACTTACACTTTATTTTATTAAGATGATGATACTACTTTTCCAAGAAAATTATCAGCAATTAATTAGGCTCGCTTTATTGTTCTTTCTTCAACTTAATCCCTCCTTTTGATGATCTTGCTTGCTGAAGGGAGAGGGAGTGAGTACTGCTTATACACAATTTTTTAACACCAAGTGAAGTTTAAGAGTTTAGGGAAAGATGCTTCTAATGATCTTTTTTCCTATATATTGTTTTTTTGTAATCGTCTTTTACTTTATATAACCTAAATAATTTATCTTTCTTTTACTAAAATTTGGGTGCCAACCGATTGATTTGTGTTACCTCAATATTTATGAAAATACAGGTTCAACAGACGGTTCTAGAAATATTCGGACGGCAGCCCAGCAAATCAGTTAACCCCGACGAGGCCGTAGCTCTCGGTGCCGCCATTCAGGTTTTTTTTCTTAAAACAAATTGTTTTCCCGGGTAAATTTTTTATAAAACCGCTATTCAGAAAGTACGCTTCTTTTTTTTTACAGTGAGGCGTCACTATCTGAAAACGCAATTAAGGTATAAGAAAACGCATTAGCGTTTTGCTTTATGTCGCCGATAAAAAAGACCTAAAATATGTTTTTCTTATCAAAATTTTAACGCATTCACTTATCGTTTTTGTTTAACGACAACCATTGGTTGTATCAATAAATTTGTACGTTTTATTTCGAAATAATTGGAACAAAGGGGGGAGTTCTATCAGGTTCCGTGACGGACGTTTTGTTATTAGACGTGACACCTCTCTCTCTCGGGATAGAAACACTCGGTGGGGTGTTTACCAAGTTGATCAATCGTAACACCACGATACCCACCAAAAAATCTCAAGTAATTTTTTTTTCTTTGGAATATATTGAAGATTTACTAAATTGCGCGCGAACTTTTTGGTTTAAATCGATGGCGGCTTCCTGCAAAATGGAGGTTCGCGAAGGGCGGGGCCCAGGGGTTAAAATTTTTTTCCCAATATTAGATGAGTGGGTAAAACATAACGAATGGGTGGGTGAATTTGAAATAGGGGCGAAACGGACCGTGGGAACGAGCATATATTGAAGTTATTCTTTTATTTCCATAGGGTTTAAATTTTACAACAATGGGAGGGGGGGGCATCCTTTTGAGTTAAAATTCCGCTCATTATACCCCCCTACTACAGGATGCTGAGAAATAAAAATAGATAATAAGTTCAACCTTAAAAATCATGAAAAAATTAATTCTTGACCTAGGAAAAAAATTTTAACGGTTTTTCCGTTTGGCTCATAAAATATATGCTATCATTAAAAAAATATATTTTGTGAGCTTCATCATAATTCAATTCTAGCATAACTTGTCCTTAATTGTAAAAAAAATCTATAGATAAGGTGTTGATAAGAGACGTATAGTTATTTTTTGCTAGAACACGGGCGAGTATTTAGATAAAAAGCTCAATCATGTTTATAAATATTGAGCACTTTTTTCCGTTCGGTTATTCTCGTATCACGATTATCTTGGCTTATTTTATATATTTTTTTTTTTTAAAATATTTATATACAATTAAACTAATTCAATCATTCAAACAGAATGCAATCAAGTGAAGTTTGACACAAAAAAAATGAAGTAATATTTTTATTTTCTAGGAACTAATAAAACATGAAAGGTCTGATAAAGAAATAAAATATTTGTTGTCAAAGTAAATTGCAGGGTGAGATAGTTCTAAGAACATCCAATATAAGTTTGGGAAAACGAGAGAAATCTTATTCAGGATATGGAGCCACAAGCTCATCATTTACTGTATACAGCACTCGTAAAAATTTTAAAAAAGTAATAATATACAGCTATTTCTTTCCAAGCTCATAATTGGGTGCTTTGAAATCACATATTTTTAAAAAAAGATTATTTTTTTTTGTGGAATCAAAGATCCGATTAAAATCTACCAGAATAAATATCATATCTTGTATAAATTTTTTTTAATTTTTATTGATTTACATATTTCTTGAATATGCCATCAGCTGTAAAGACTTAATTGATATATGCATGAATTCCTATCAATAAATCAAAATCTAAGGATCTATTCCTTTTTACAAATCCCCAAATGACTGGGTTAATTCATCATATTACAAGTGTTGTATTACAATAAATGATGAGCGTGGCTTCTTCCGTATCACGAATAAAGTTTCTCACTTCTTCTGAACTTATATTGGATGTTCTTAGAACTATTCATTTGTGTGTCAACTTCACTTGATTGAAAAAAAAATCATATGTGAATGACCGAACGAAAAAGAGTGCTCAATATTTCTCGACACTAAGAGACTTTGTTCAAATGCCTAAGGGCCATGGCGATTTTTTAAAAATTTACATATAGCCGTTCCTACATTATTTTAATCGGTTATATTTGGATTGATAAAATTTTCAAATGAAGGTATTTTCGACAGCCGCAGATGGCCAAACGCAAGTCGAAATCAAGGTTCATCAAGGGGAAAGAGAGATGGCTGGCGACAATAAATTGCTCGGACAATTTCAATTGGTAATATTTAAGTTTTGAATTTGTTTCTTTTGATCATGTTTTATCCAGTTTTTTTAAAAAAATATGTGTTTTTTTTAAAAGAAAAGTTTTGTTTTATTCGATTTATAGAATTAGAAAGAATTTTTTTTTTAAAAAAAAAATCATACAAATCATCTAACTTTCTATTCTGGATACCAGATTTAAATCAAAAAAATCGAATATATTTTTAATAAATCATGCAAATGCATCTAACTTTTCTATTCTGGATACCAGATTTAAATCAAAAAAATAGAATATATTTTTAATAAATCATGCAAATGCTCCAACTTTTCTATTTTGGGTACCAGATTTGAATCAAAAAAATCGAATATATTTTTATGGTAGCCTGACTTAATACATATAAATTTAATATGATTGGATTCCCTTAAATAATATCTTCTTTTTTTAAAAAAATACCGCATTTACTAATAAATACCATCTTATCAACGGTTGTTGGCGAAGCTCTTTGGGCACTAGTGCGGCTCGATTTGAGCCGAACTTAACATTATAGCCAGGAAAATATTGCCTTAAGCGTCGAGAATTTGCCAATAGAGGTTCAATCCTATGTGCCATCTTTGAGCCGTTTAACGACGTGTTACTTTGGATAGTTACGAGAAAAATCTCTAAGGTAGCTTAATGTTACTTTGGCTGAGCTATCCGTTTGTAAAAGTAGGCTACGCAAGCTGTTTGACGATTAACTTGGACCAGCTCGAACCAATCCACGACCCATCGGTTCATGTGAGTGGGTCATGGTTGACTTCAATAACGGTTTTTATTTTCATTCAAATCTATAGTCGATGTCTCCACGACGCCTTCATAAATTTAATCATTTTTTTTAATCCCTTTATTTTAATCCCTTTATTTTAATCGTATTCGAAAAGGTCGGCTTACCTCCCGCCCCCAGAGGCGTGCCCCAAGTAGAAGTCACTTTTGACATAGACGCCAACGGCATCGTTCACGTATCGGCCAGGGACAAAGGGACCGGAAAAGAACAACAAAGTAACTAATCAATACAACCACATATATTTAAAAATTGTAATCGTGTTACTTATTGTAATATTCTTTATAAAGAACGTTTGATTTTTTTTGTCGGAAAGAGGGAGGGGGGGGGAGGGAGGGCTAGGTGTATTAAATTTCAAGAAACAGTGAAAGTGTAAGGCGCTATACGATTTAAAAAAAATGTGTACTGACGACATATCGTTTCACCACGAAGGAAATTTGTGTAAGAAAAATAATAATGCATTACTATTTCTTGCAAGGATAAAATAAATGATTACAATTTGCAAGTTGAAACGCTTTTCATTTTGGTTTTAGGTAAAGGATACGATTTTATCGCGCCTTTAAAACGATAATTATTTCATATATATATAAAACAAAATATTAGGGTTAGGGTTTTATAATATACGGTCCGGTCCTAAATCCGAGCCGGGCTTAGGGCAGGACCTGCAGGTCTCTTAAAAACATCAAATTTCATATGATCATCTAAATCTTTATTGTTGTTTAAAATAACAACTCCAAATCACCTGATTTAAAAACGAATTATTTGTAATATAATATCTTCTCTAAAATATATTGAAAAACGTCCATATCTTGTCAATTACGAGTGAACAGATACAACAAATAATGGCGTTATTTTTTTTTATATGTAAACAACTTTAAAAAAAAAATTAAATAAATTTTCAGTCGTCATTCAATCTAGCGGAGGTCTAAGCAAAGACGAAATTGAAAACATGGTCAAGAACGCCGAAAAATTCGCCGTCGAGGACAAAAAGAAAAAAGTCATTTTTTTTAAAAACCATATGATTAGAAACTTAATAATTTATCACCATTTTAAAAAAAATATACCATTCCTCTAATATATAATACTAAAAACATATGTTTATGTCATGGGAGGTCTGCCATGATCCAAAATTTTGTGTTATTAGCTTATAGCGATGGGAAAAAAATTTAGGCCAAAGCCCATGGTCTAAAAGAAGAATATATACCATTTTACGGTGTGCGATTAACCTGATACTGTGTTGCTCACGCAGGCCTCCTTTGATTCATGACGACTACCGATTTACTCCTAGTCATTCTAACATCCCGCAAACATATATTAAATATTTAAAGAAAATGTAAATTATATATTTTAGGATACCGTCGAGGCTGTCAATATAGCCGAGGGCATCATTCACGACACCGAAAGTAAGATGGACGAATTCAAGGAGCAATTGCCCCAAGACGAAGTAATTGACAAGTTTTTAATTTTTATCCTCTAAGTAAAATTTCCTTCTTGTATCATTTTTAAAAATATCTTTAAGTTTTTTTTATAGAAATAAATTTTTTTCCCCTTATATTTTAATCTCATTTATAACCACTCTCTTCACTATCGTATTAATATAAGTGCAAGAAATTGCAAGATTTGATTGCTCAAGTCAGGACGAAGTTGGCGGAGAAGGATAAGGAAACGGCGGAATCAATCAAATCATCTACCAACGCCCTGCAACAAGCGTCCCTCAAGCTCTTCGAAATGGCTTACAAAAAGGTAATGTAAAAATACGGGTTTTTTTAAAGTTTATTTATAAACACAGAAGGAGATAAAAAGTATCGAGTGATATCTGTTATATTCCATTTGTGCAAATTTTTGGGCACAATGCTCAATTGCAACGCAATAAATTCCAATCATGTGATTTGTAACGGTCTTTTTACGTAGTTTTTTTTATATATATAGTCCCACCACCTCAAACCAAAGATTTTTGGGTCAAATAAAATATTTTGTTTTTGAATATTCCTAATTATTACCAAATATACTTGTTATTATACACGCGGAAAATAGATGGCTCAAGAGAAAGAAAGCAAACAATCCCCTCCCTCGGATAGTTCGAGCGGCACAAGTGGCAGCGATTCCGGGACCGAATCGCAACAGGAAGGGAAGAAAGAGGAAAAACAATGATCACTTAAAAAAAACATTTGAACCATTTACACCTTACGAAATGATTGAATAATACTCCTTTCAATTTTCCTTTTCCCAAACATCATTTTTTATTTAACAAATTTATAGTCATTTTTTGTTTTTTTTTGCTTTCGAAGACTTTTTGAAAGCAAGATAAAGTTAAAATTGATTGCAAATAAAAATTAGATTAATTTTTTTTAAAATTTTTTATTAAAGTTTCGCAATATTTTTACGTGATCGATAAATTATTGGAACTTTTTAAAAATCGTTGTGTATATTGTTTTTATCTTTTTCGTAGACAAATTTCATATTTCTCGACAACGTTGTAATCGAAGGATTTATATATTTAAAAAAAATATATAATAATTAATGTGTCAAAGCTGTGGGTTAGGGAAACGGGTAAGATTGGAGCTAAGTCGATTATGAGTCAAGTCAACAAAAATGTCTTGAGCTTAAAAACGGTCATGGTTAATTAATGGTAGTTTTGAAAAAACTATGGCTATTGCCGGGTCTATTTATTTATCATAATGAATGTCCACGTGTGAGAATTAATGTGGGAAATAAAGAAATTACAATGTTATTGGGATACAGGAGCTACTAAGGTCATGGGGTGTTTTTAAATACCTTATGGCTAATAGTTTTATTTTTTGAAATTATCTTGTTTTTTTATAGTTTAGTGAGCAGTATGTATGTAATCATGTCTATAAATAAATTTTAATATGTTGTTTTTGTTTCTTCCATTTTTTTTTCTCTCGAAAACCCGGCAATACAAAATAATAACATCATCCCCACGCTATATAATTGTCAGTGTCTTTACAGAGGTATACCGATTTCACGTCCCCTCAATTATAGTTGGATAATTACTATTTTTAGCCGTTTAAGCCTATTTTTACCCGACTAAAATTTCGGCTAAATCAAGTTTTTCACCGAAAACTCTCACTTTGGCCTCTGGGGTGTTCTGAAAAAGTAGGCAAATTTGGAAAATACTAATATTTAAAACGCCTTAATGTTGGCAGATTTTTTCCGGCAGGCGCCTGAAGATTGAGTCGGCATTTAGCCATTACCCAACTATACTCCCAATTATAAAATAATTTTTATTGGCCTTGCATTGCATTTATAAAAAATTTCGATTTGTATCTAAAAGAAAATATTATTCTACATTATACGATTTCCTTATTTGAAAATATCTATTCTAAAATATCAAATATGTAATCATTTAACATCTATTGTTGTTAAATTACCTAACGTTAGTCAACTATAAAACAGCGTAGCTATGTATTTATCCAAAATATTCTCAATCTTTAAGTTGAGACTCAACTTGAGGCTTAATCTAGTTTTATAGGCTAAAAGCTTGATAACTACAATAGAGATGGTCAAATAAATTTTTGAAACCATCTTTATTCTTAAAATGATAAGTGAAGATTATTTTTCGTTCAATACCTAGAAAGAGTATTGAAATATAACTATTAAAATTTACAATTTCAAACCTAAAAACTAATTCTGATTATTATTTGAATAAATTTAATAAAATACTTTAAATTTTTCTTTTCATAAAACCTTACAAATGATAAAATGGAAAAACTAAATAAATGTGATATATATGATTCCATGGACCCAACAATCTTTAAATATATTTCAATTTATTTAATTATAATTTACAATATAAAATAGTCGCGATTTAAAGTATTATGGCCTGACTAGGGTATTTCTAAAATAAGAGAGATTTTTGGGCCTAGTTTACGTATATTTATAAAAAATATAATTTATTACAAAGTAGGATACCCCCAATTTAATATTTTTTAGCCGCTTAGGCACGAAACTTAAATTTTATCAATAAAATGATTCTGACTTTTGGAACGATATAAAAAAATTTAAATTTTGAGTAATAAGGTAAATTAGATGTATCTATATATTTGAAATCCTTTTCAATTTGCTATTTTAAATAAAGATGTCCCATGGCTAACATATTTATATATTTTTTTAAAATAAATTTTTAAGTCAGGCTTAATTTATATGCGAACTTATTATAAGCTATATATTGACATTTGAATGTCTTTAAAGAATAATAAAAGGGTGTAGGGGGTTGTGTTATATTTAAGCAATCGATTCATAACCCGTTGTATCTTTTTTTAAAAAATAATTTTAATTATCATAAATTTTGATAAATTAATATCCATAAGATGGCGTAATAGCGACAACCATGTGAAAATTAGTGTCGTTAAATGGCTTCTGAAGATTTTGTTCACACCAGGAACAAAGGTCTAGACGGCTAAAATATTTAGCCGTTTGTAAAAATCCGCTCATAATAACCCGCTAACAATACTAGTGTAAATATGAATTTTTTTTTAAAAATGATTAGTTTGTAACTCCTTTTAGGAGCCCCTTAAATTGGCTTCCGAAATAGATGAAATCCTTTCCAAGTGATCAAAATTAAAGAACTAACATGCAATCCTTTGGTTTAAAGAATGACAAAACAAGCATTTTGTTTATTTATATATAAAAATATGATATTATCCATATAATTATTAACATTATCGCGAATGACAATTTATTTGTAACCTTTAACGAGAGACGGCTCTCGGTTAAAAGGTATGTGAACATTCTAACGTAAAATTCCGGAAACAATTAAAAATGTGCGCTGAAATTTTATTTGCCGGGATCGAAAATAATTTAATAAATTAATTATATGCAAAAAAAAAGGAAGGTTTTGGAAAATACTGGATTGCATAGTATATAATTTGCATTTAAAAAAATAATAATTTATATAATGATGTTCACAATTATTTGAAACTTATAAAGTCAAATATATCGACCATTGATCTGCAACTGAACATCTCGGCGTACCAAAAAACTCCATAAAAATGGACAATAAATATATTCAGAGTTGGCCAACATTCGGAAATAAGGGAACAGTTTTCTTGTTCGATTTGACATCTTTCCCAGTGGATTTTACTTTAAACAACACGGGGTCGAAGCGAAATTCTACGGTCTTCAGTGGCATTCTATGTCCGAAATGCTGAGTGAATAAGTTGAGGCAATAACTTCTGATATCCTTATGCTGATAGTTTTTCTTGGATAAGCCAGTTTCCTTAGAAACTTTAGAATTCACGAATTTTTGCCTCGAAGTTACCTAAACGTGTATAAATAATAAAATTTTGTTTTAAAAAAAATAAAAATAATATAAGGAATAAATTCGCGCGACACATGGCATAAATTTTGTTATACCGCGATGCGGGTTACATTAAGAGCGATGCGGTGGTCTCATTTAACAGCAGCGCATTGCCATTGTCGAGCTATTTCGACTTTTAAGTCACGTGATTATACATCATATGTTAACTTCAATATGTGTGTGTTTTTCTCAGTATATCTCTTATGATGCATATATGCTAAATACTAATAGATTGACCATTCATTAATTAAACGCATTTAGTGTAGATACATATGAATCATCTTTAATTAATTAATCTCGCCAATCTAATAAGTATATATGTTAGCGTTAAATATGTTTTTTTTCGGGCAATTTGCTATTTTTTTTTGACTTTATATCACTTTTTTGAGTGCTTTTTTTTTTAAGATTTTTTTATAAAAAATCCAATTTTACCTGAAATGACATCTGTCATGTTTCGAAATATCTACCCTATAAATAATCAGTACACTTTCGCCGTGAACATTTTAACTTAATATAATTTATAATAATTTTTTCCTTAGATTATCTTTTTACATAAATGATAAATGACTCAAAGGTTAACGGCATAATTATGTAGAATTCATAGGATAGGTACTCCAAACATGCTATGCCATAATACATTTCCGATAAAATTAGATTTAAAAAAAAGTTGAACCGATAAAAACACATCGGCGCTAACATATATATACATCATTAATTCAAACGTTTAAGAAAAAATATTCTAAAAATCATAAAGTATCTGCAATATTAAAGAAAATGCTCTAATAAAGATCTAAGATTTGCAAAAATAACATGATGACTGAGAAAAGAAGAACAAATTTACGCTAACATATATACATTACTGGTTTAAAAGTTCTTGTTTCTAATAAAGTGGATCCTTTTATACTTGCTAGAACACATTGATGCTAACATATATAAATCATTTGTTCAAAAAAGTTCTTGTTTCTAATAAAGTGGATCCTTTTATACCTGCTAGAACACATTGATGCTAACATATATAAATCATTTGTTCAAAAGTTCATTATAAAATTTTCTAAAAATCATAGAATTGGTCTTTTTATATCTGCAATATTAAAGAAAATGCACTAACAATGATTTAAGGTTGTAAAAATAACAAAATATACTGAGAAACAACAGAAATATCCTATTTCTTATTATATATATCAAAAAATAATATTCAAAAATAAGAAATTTAACGATATTCTAATTTTATAAGGAATCTTTTCATTAATTGTTTAAAAAACAAAAAAAAACACAAAAAAAAACAAATTCGAGGGTATAATTAGTTTTAATTTTTTGTTATAAATGTGTTTGATGAGAAAACAAACTTTAATAGGCGGGTTGCCAGATATGTCCGCGATCAAAAAATTCATTGCGAGATCTTCGCAATTGAAATGATTATTGACGAATCTCCTAGGTTTTTCCGGCATAAGGTAAGTGTACAAATGATGGAAATGCTAAAAAGATAGATAATAAATAATAATAATAAATGATAATAATAAATGATAATAATAAATAATAATAATAAATAATAATAATAAATGATAATAATAAATAATAATAATAAATAATAATAATAAATAATAATAATAATTTTTAAAATAAATGGTCAATTACAAGAAAATTATTTACTAGAAATTTCGCGTAAACAAAAAAAAAACCCAAACTGATTAGGAATAAGGTAGAAATTACGCATTTAAATTTGTTTTTTTTATAGTTTTTTTTTACTCTATGATAAAAAGCAGCTCCGGTTAGTATGATGGATATATTAGGCCTCCATTCTGAATCGTAGCTATAATGATTCCTGAGAGGGTCTAAGGAATGAACCCTACCAGGAAACCCTACTATATGATCGGGCATTTGCTTCCAAGTTTGAAACCCGAATTCCAATTCATCCACCGTCAACATGTCTATATCGTCGTCGATGGATAGAACGCATTCTGGGATGGAAATCTTAGGAAGAAACTCGGGTGGTATTAACCTTTTGAGGGGTAAAAAACGGTTCCCCAATTCATTCGTTGTCATATTTGATAGCTTCCATTATTATGGGAAATAAAAATAAAACATTTAATAATATTTTAAAGAAAGAAAGAAAGAAAGAAAGAAAGAAAGAAAGAAAGAAAGCAAGATTGAAGGCAAATTGAGAATGAAAAAAATCTAACATTGAGATAATAGGAAAGTAAACCGGTCTTACGGAGATTATAAATATATATCTATATATATTGAGTATAAATATATATATACATGGATGTTTCGAATACCATTATAGGTCTATCTAGAGGGTTGTGGAATTCTGATGTATTTATGGTAGGGGGTTTCAAGTTCGGGTTGTTCCATATGACCAGGATCGCGAGATTACTGGGTACCTTGAGTAATTTTCTGATCATATCCTTGCAACTCTTCCATCTGTCGAAAGTTAGCACGATGCTGATAAATCCTTGGGTCGCCGGACTAGACTTCATGGTCCCGTATCTGTTAGCCATGCGAGGCAGTGGTAGGATAGGTCCGAATTTGGTTCTCTGTCCCAATTATTTTTATAGTGTGAAAGAGAAATAAAAAAACTTATTAAACGTGAAATCATTTCGTAGGATATTACAATAACCATATGTTTGGTGTTTTTGTTAAAACAAAACCCCGATCTTAGTAATTTTTTTTTAAAAAAAATGGCGAAATCCAAGATTTTAGCCAAAAAAAATTTATTGCCTTTTTTTCGGTTTTCTGTCTTTTGTCAAATATGGCCATTATTTTCCTTTCGACTATTTTTAAGTAGTTATAGTTTCTCGTCGAAGATTTTAATTATTATTTACGTTTATTTTCATGAATACAAACGAGAAACGAAATTTGGCGGTCCTTAGAATTCATCAAAATTTAGCGGCCTAGTAGCCCTGTGTGCCTATGCCGGCGACACGGACCTGTCTGGGCTCTAGTAGTAGACCTGGGTTCTTATCCAGCAAGGAACTGAGGGTCATGATGTATAATAGATACATTTTGACAAAATTTGATATTTATTTAACTAAAATTTAACAAAATTTGGTCTTTATTTAACTAAATTTACCAAAATTTAGTCTTTGTTGTTTTATCATCGCTAGCCAGAATTTTTACATTTATATAGCTTTTTTTATCCAATTTTGGATCACTCATTCATCCTCAAAATTATACATTTTTAGGACTAATTATTTAATGATCATTTTTTTAAAAACTTTTCTTTTACTGTTAGAAATAGCATATTGTTTTTATAGAAAAAAACAAAGGAAGATGAAAAATATTTAACATTGATTTGCCGGCTTTTATAATTCCATTGATAGTAAAGAGATTTCGTTCCATTTTTAGGTTTGGGATTAAATCTTTGATCGATGATTCTCAGGGTTGTCGTAGTGATTCTTTGGATCGAGCTGAAGTATTTGTGCCAAATGAAAGAACCCTGCTCCCTCAAATCATCGATCCTGTCAGTGATCTGTTTCTGTCGCAAAAATGAGGGCAGGGTCTTCGTTAACTGACTAGCGGATATTCTTATGGAGAACCTAGAATATTTAAAAACGTAATTTATTTGGATAGATATTTATGATTAGTAAGAGAACTAATTTTAGTAAAAAGTGATATAACCTAGAATAATCCAACACCTCCTCGAACGGTAGAATAAAGTCGGACCAGACTATGACAGGGATGCAACCTGTCATCATGGCCTCCGAAATGTCCAGGGAAGTTAAATGACAGTTGGGCAGTATCAAGCAAAAATTCGATTTCTGAAAAAAAAAAATTAAATAATCGTTAATTAATCCATGATAAACTTCGTTTTAGATACATCGATCTCGTTAGTAATGTCAATCATTTTTCGAAATTGATCATTATCATAATCGTTTAGGGAATATTTTGTGTTACATATGTCACATTCAATAAGGGGGATGGTATATAAATCAATGATGATGCCATAAAAGTTCTTAATCAAATACTTTAAGTAAAAATGGCTGCTATTTACTACGAATTATCATATTAATTCGCTATTTTAAAAAATTCTAATCATTTCCGGAAATAAATTGCCTAAAATGTATTTCCAGGAATGTGTCGAGTATCTATCCTAAAAATATTCAGTCAATTTAGCAAGATATCGCGTATGTTGACTAAGGCAATACGCACGCGTATTGTCATTAAGCGATTTTGATGTAACACGTTATTTACTTCACTGATGTATACAAGGACCGCAAAATAAAACTTAAATTTTTTTACTGTTCTTTAAAGGCTCGTACAAAATAACTATTGCGCACAGAGCCCTAACCCCGTATAAAAATTCTAACGATATCTAAGTCTTGTCATGCATCCCTACTTCATATTGCAAGTATACAACAGTATACGGATACAAGACAATGATATCATTTTTTTTTGTAAGGGTCCTCTAACCGGCGGAATATCGTACGTGCCATTAAAAATTTCAGGGATGTAGTCTCATAGTCAACATACACATATTCACTTTCGACATTCATCTTTTTTTATATAATTGCAATCATTTGTATTTTCATCACGGGAAGGGGGGGGAGTTGACCTCCCCATCATTGGATTAGGGGAAAGATACAATCTAAATCTTTGCAGATATGGATGCCTCAAGAAACTTAAAACTCTAAAATATGAATATTGGATGATTAAATCTGCAAAAATTGATAAATTTTATGAGGACTTCTTCGAAGAACAATAATGTATTAGGCTTAATCACACATATATTTTGGTAATTTAAATCACTAAAAATTAAAAAATGATCCTCAAAAAAAGAGTAAATTTTTTTTTTTATCATCTGTGGCGAACCTTCAAGAGTGGAACGTATTCGTAATATTTACCCATCTTTGATCGATGGATATCGTTTTTGAATTTCTTGGTCCCGCGAAAGAATTCGTTAAAGAGCATCAAATCGGATTGACTCAAATCACGTGCCAATGTTGAAAGTATGGCTTTATCGACGTTGTTCGCCAATATCTGAGTGTTGATAATGAGCCACTCCCTAAGACGACGAGACGGTTTGCGGTTTTTTTTATGGGGTAATATTTTAATTATTTATTTATATATATATTTCAACTGATCCAAAGATTTCTCGAATTTTGATTGGTCAATTATATTTTACCTATTTCCTACTGGATCCCACTAAAGACTATAATAAATGTTTGGTAGGATATTACGAGGACATTTTTGGATCAGATGACAGGAAATTATATGACATTCTAAGATTGAATCCAGTCAGTTATTAAAAAAAGAAAAATTTAATTTCGTGGACTAAATTTGATAAGTTGTTGTTTAAAATATTTATTAAAAACAGATCTACAATCGGAAATAGGAAGAAAAAAACCCCAGGAAAAACTCGCCGGAAAGAATACCCCGGAAAAAAAACCACATGGATAAAAATCACTATCGAAAAAAAAAGGAAAGGAAAATTGTCAATCAAATTCTAGAAATTAAAAATTTTTAATAATTAATCCTTTTTTTATTTGAAACCTCTCATATTGAGCATCTTTCTCGCTAGTTGCTCCATTTTTCTGACATACATATTCATCATTCCTTCGCTATTTTTGCACATCAATCAACAGACCTCTCACAGGTGCTTTTGCTTTATTATTGGCAGCATTTTTTTTATTTTTTATACCTATGGCCATTCCCCACGAACGCAGAATCTGCCCATCCTGCATGAAACCAATACATTTAACAAATGATGGAGAATTTTTTGTTCATGGACCAATCTCTAACAGGTGTCCGCATTCAAAACACACGCCTCTTTCTCAGATCACTTACTCGCTTCCCCCCCCTCTCATAGATTCTCCCTTAAACCAAGTAATTGGTGCCTCATTCTCAGATATTTTTCTTAACCTACAAAACCAAGTATCATAACGAGAATACCCAAAGGAGCGAGAATACAAGTAGCTAAATCTCTCAGCAACTGCATATCTTCTCTTTTGCAAAATTTTAACAAAGAAGAAGAATGGTTAAAATTTTTAAACTTTGGGTACAATACTTTCAAAATACCTGACATATCACTCCAAAAATCATTAACTCAACAAATAAAAGATGCCTGTTTAAACATCAACACTCATCTTCATGAGTCCCAAATCTTCAGACATCCCATAAACAAAAAAAAATAACCCCACTTCAACAAAAAGCCTCATTGATTTCGAAGAAAATTGACAGTCTTAATATCAATGGGGCCCTCAAACTCATTTCAACCAATGACACTCTGGCGGAATCCAATTTAGAAACCTTAATTAAGCTTCGATCAAAGCATCCCACAACAACATTTATGCCAATATTGCCCAAACCCTTCTCCCATTGTGCAGCAGATTTCACACAGGAAGAAGTAAGGAAAGCAATCCTATCTTTTCATCGGGATTCGGCTCATGGTCTAGATGGGATTAGACCAATTTCTTTACAGGACATTACCTCTCCTGTGATCTGTACACAGGTTTCAATTCTCACTAAAATCACAAACTTAGTCAACAAAATCCTAAATGGAGACGTACCCAGGTTTATTACCCCCTTACTATTCGGTGCCAGACTCATCGCACTCCAAAAACCAAACAAGGACAATCGGCCCATCGCCGTCGCTAAATTAATCGCATCTAGAATCAAACACGATGCCGCACACATTCTAAGCCCCTATCAACTTGGTGTAGGGATACCTGGTGGGTGTGAAGCTGCTGTGCACTTAACAAGAATTCACCTTGAAAATAACCCAAAAAACGAATCCCTAGTAAAAATTGACTTCTCTAACGCCTACAACACTCTTTCGCGCAACACGTTCCTACATTCAACTTGCTTCCATTTCCCCGCTTATACCAAATTTCTTTTCTCTTGCTACCAATCACCAACAATCTTACAATTCAACAAAGAAAAGATATTTCTGTCGAGGGTATCCAACAAGGTGACCCTCTCGGATCCCTTCTCTTTAGTCTTGGAATCAATGACATGATAAAATCAATAAACTCTTCATGTACTCTATCGCTCCACGCTTGGTATATTGATGATGAAATCTTGAGTGGTCCCAGTAGTGAAATTGCCAAAGCAGTCACCATAATTAAAGATATGGGCACAGCCATTGGACTTTCGCTTAACCAGAGCAAATTTGAATTCTCACTTTTAAATTCTAATGCTCTCAACACTCACGATTTCAAATTCACATCAAGCGTTGAATTAACACATCTAGGATCGCCTGTTGGAGGACACGAGGCAATAAGCACCTTTCATTCCACACTTGACATACTCCTTAAACTGGAGGACATCTTTACACTTCTTCCATCACACAAGTCCTTTTTTTGCTAAAAAATTTCTTTTTTATACCAAGGATTCTTTACGCACTTCGGTCAACACGAATTTTTAATTATCCTATTCCTCTCCAAACTTACGAAAAAGGAATAAAGGACTTAACCGAAAAAATAGTAAATATCAGATTCAACGAAACCGCTTGGGCCCAAGCAACTTTTCCAACCAAATTTGGTGGTCTCGGCATCAGATCTCTACTTGACTTAGCAACAACTACTTTCATATCGAGTAGTCTCTTGACAAAGCCAATAACCACCGCCCATAATTCTAAAGAAGACCTTTCCTTAATCGTTGCTATGGATATTTGGAAAACAAGGATCAATGCTGATTCTCATCCCCCCACAACCTATAAACAGAAAGACTGGGATGCACCAGTGGTTGCTCGCTGCGTTGAAACTCTCTTATCTAGCATGCAATCTACCGACCGCACCCTATTCTCTTCCTTGCTCAATGGTACGGGACATGAGTTTCTTGAGGCCATCCCATCTACCAATCTTCAGCTTCAACTATCCAACAATGAATTTACCCATGCCATCGGCATTCGTCTAAATTGTTCCATCACTCACCCCCACATCTGCTCAGGACGCAACTCGCCAGTTGACTCGAAGGGTAGACATAGTTTACATTGTCGCTCCTGCAATGGACGATTCATCAGACATAAGCAATGTAATACAATCATCCAACATGCTCTGAAATCCGCCCAAATTCCTTCCACGTTAGAACCACAGGGTCTTTTTAGATCTGACGGTAAACGTCCTGATGGGATCTCTTAAATCCCATGGAGGAGAGGCCAACTTTTGGTATGGGACTATTCCTGTATTGACCCCTTGGCCCCATCCAACCACGCCATCAACATCCTTGACCAGAAGGAACAACTTAAAATTTCTAAATACACAGAAATAATAAACGATCATTGCTTCATCCCAATCATATCAACCACTCTTGGCACCTTCGGCAAACTCGCCTTAGCATTTTTCAAAAACTTAGGATCACAAATCATCAAACTCTCAGAAGAACCTCGAGAGGGTTTTTTTCTTCGTCAACGATTATCCATAGCGATTCACAAAGCTAATTATATCAGTTTCAATGGTAGCCTTCTAGCCAAAGAGCTATCATAGACAACGCTTACGTCCCTTTTTCATTTTTGTTTCCCTGCGTCACACCATCTCCGTTCTTTTATTTTAATAGTATTATTATATATTTTTCAAACATTTCTAAATATATTAAAATTTATTATAATGAAAATTTAAATTATTATATCTTATATTGATATAAAAATTATAGTTATATTTATTTTTTAATCTTCGTTCAGAAATAAATATAAATAATTATCAAAAAATGGAAAATTCCCTTTCAAAAAAGGAGAATCGTTATTTCCTAAAAAAAATTTATTTTTTTTCTTGTCAATTTATTATTATTTTTTTTTTATTATATCTTTTCTTCAATTTATATTTTTCTTTTCATTTTTGATAATTCTTTTCTTTTATTTTTGGAATTATTTTTAATTATCACTTATTTATTTTTTTTTTAAATATAACCTAGCAATAATTTTATATTGATAATTAAATTTTTAAGTGAGTGCTCATGGCATTATATTATGGCATGATGGAGGGCTTAGCATTTGTTCCTTTATGCTATATGGGCAATGCAATGGCATTCCTCTGAGATCGGTTGTTCCGAGGAGAGGGAAGGATATTCTTGATTATTTCGATAGGGAAATCACAGGAAGCCATTTTCAATCCTGACACCTCGAATTGGGCCTCGATTTCTTCCAGAAACTTGGGAACGTGAATCAAAGCACTCTTATCCAACCGAAGAACGCGTAAATAATCAATACGAAGGTTGGAATCATCGTTTTTTCTAATCTGGGTTGGGGAATAAACACCCATCAATCTGGGTAATGATTTTTTTTAAAAAATGAATTGCGAGGTAGCGCTAACTATGAAACCTAACTTGAACGATGGCGTGTGGCGTGTAGGTAGTTGGACACCGTAAACAAAATGGCAGAGTCATTATAGCCGGATTCGGTTAAAGAAACTTTGCGCGAAGAATACCGTGATGGGGTTGCGAAGCCTTCCAGATTTTATGAGAGCCATTTCCTTCAATATTGGATGCCAACCCGTATTAATTATTATTCTAAATTATTAAGATAGCGAAACATGGGCAATGAAAGCGACTCACGAAGCCCAAATTAAAAAAAACAGAGATGAGGATGATTAGATTGGATGTGTAGAGTATCTCTGAGAGAGAGAGAAAAAACTAGCATAGGAACTGAGAGCAAGATTGGATATAGAAATGATTGGAGCGGTAATGCGACGAAATAGAAACTATGATGGTTTAGGCATGGTGAACCGTGTGATAAATGATGACTGGGGGTCAGGAGATGCGCCTTGACGGAAGCAGGAGGATCAAGAACCTAGAGGAAGGTCCGAGATGACGCGGACCAAATGTAATAGCGGCGGATAATGAGAAGAATATAGCTTGCACAAATCGATGCTCTCAGGACCGCCAAAAAATGGAAGGCCTACCTGGGTAAATCCGGCCGGAAAGAAAAGAAGAAGAAGATTAAATTTGTCTATACATGATCATGAATTTACCGATAAAATAAAAACATATTTTTTATATTACAAATAATTTTGTCATATTTTAGTCCTACTAAATATCCGTAATTAAGGATGGGTATTTGTATTTAATTACCTATATAGCGAATAATTATTTTACCAAAATATGAAATACATGGGGGTTATTCTAGTACCAATTTTAACATCAGCATTTTTTTTTATGGAGGGTATATGAGTAATCTTTAAGAAAAGAAAAAATTATAGCTTATTAAATGATATTTTAATAATAATTTGTTTTATCTAAAATACTAATAAATTTGTCTATACCTTATTTTTAAAAAATCCAAATAAA